TTCTTTATCTATTTCTTTATTTTTCAGCAACATCATTGTATTCATGTAGTCGCATCATAATTTCGCTTATCTTTGCTGTTATTATCGGCTAATTAGCGTAATTATTATCATAACAGCAAAGAATTACAAGAATGAATTCTGATCTAGAGGGCTGGATCTAGTTTCCATAATATTGATATTTGAATATCATCTTCAAGGACAAACATTAATTACCGAAGTAAAGATAGATATTAATAAACATGATTTATTTTAATGGCACATCCTAAAACTAAAAAGCACAGTTTCTTAGAACATTAAACATAAATGGTAGGTAATAATGCACCAAAAGTTTTGACAGTTATGTTTAAGTTTTACTAAGAGTTAAGCTTGCCTTAAACACCGCTCGCCTTCTTTCTTTAACTTTTGCAAGCTGAAGTGCACTTTGATCGTATGTTTCGAAAGATTATGCTACAGACCGAAAGGTCCTCATTTCGGGCCTCGACGCTAATTCATATAAAAATGACATTGATTTTAAGTGGTCCCATCCATCGGTTAACGTTACCGTTCAAAACTATACCAAAGAAGTGTTCTTCAACAACAGATGGTTCTGATAGCCAAATTACTATGCTATGAGCACAAACAAGATCTGGCGCCGGCAACAACCAGAGATCGGTTTAACTCTAAGCAAAATAAACACGTGCTTAGGGCATCATGGGAAAGGAGCACCACCAAAAGATGGTTAGGGACTTAATAGGAGGCAACACAAAATTTTCCCTCAGCAAGTTTTGCCATGGAATGCATCTTGTTCCTAAATAAAAAGCGAGAAAGTAGCAATGGAGAAAAACTTGCGTTCAATGAATGTGAGGGCATCAAAACTTTTTAAATGCTTAAGGTCTCACAAATTTTTAATGTGATCCTGGAACAACACTTGCATCTTCGCTGGAAAAGTTGAGAAATTAACTAGGTTTACTGCAACACATGCCTTGCGGAGTGAGACCATGGCTGTGAGAATTAGTAACTGCGTACAATTGCCGGAGGCCTAAGTAGTTTACTTTTGCCGTTTCGTTGACTTTATATTGATTAGTCGAGGAAAACAACAAGATTTCTTATATAATAGAAGACGCCGAAGAACAAATGGTTTGAAGGAACTAGTAATGTGCGATGAGAATCGCTGTAATTTGAGTAAATTGGCAGGTCTATTACTTCACAGGTTACATACAACCTGTCACTTCAGCTACAGGAGTGGAAAGTTCACTAAAATGACTTCAAAAGAAGAAAAAAGTATATAGATAAAGAAATTTCAATATGTTTCTTAAACTCTCATAGGGACGAAAACTCAACTCGTATAGATTTGAAACAGTGAACTTACTTTAATTCTCCGACAGAGGGACAGAACATTACTTTACTATTACTAGTTATTTTATTATTATTTACCATTATTGTCAACACACTGTTATTCGCTTAAGATTGAAAGAAAATTCTAAATATTTAAATTTTATTTTTCATCTATATCAAATAATTGCTTCTGAAGTCAAATCGTTAAACTGATTTTATTAATAAAAAGTTTTTACTATGCATATTACTACATGCGTCGTACAGAATTTTATTATTTGTTGTAAGGTGTTTTCTTAAGAAAAGCTAGCATTTTATTGTATCTGCTTCCATAAAGAAATGACTTTACATTAAAGTGATGGCATGATTTTCTTCAGTGCTGAACAATTGTACCTTCACATCTTTTAAAAATATCATAAAATATGTAAAGAAAAGTTAAATACTGTGAATTATGTCATCTTAGGTTAGAAGCAATTATCGTTTTGAACCAAAAAGATAATAGAACAACATCTGAGAGAAATTCTTACCATCTGGTGTTCTTTGAACTCTATCTGTTGTCCTTCTCCTGGTAATAAAACAAACAGCGCATAGAACCACAAGGAGGACGATTGCAGAGCTAACAACCGGAACAGTGATGGTCAAGTGGCGATAAAACGCACTGTTGACATCGCTCACTTCAGATGGACGAGGTGGATGCTCTAGAAGAATTTCGCAGCAGTTAGATAAAAAGAAAATACTCCAGGTTAAAAATGTTAACCTCCATTTAAGAAATATGACCAGATGAAATTTTACTGAATCTTATAACTAACTCGCAAATGCACATCGTGATATTAATACTTCATGGCCAGTGGTCTCAAAATCAATTTGCATGCTCGCTGAATGTGATATCTGAAACAATCGACGGGTCAGATATTTTTTTTCTTTTAACAAAAGAGGAATTTTTTATTAACAGAATAAGAAGTACCATATATTCCGAATTATAATGCGCACTTTTAATACAAAAAATGAGATCGAAATTTACAGGTGCGCGTTTTACGCCGGATATAAAAATGATAGGCTTATAAATAAGGAAAAGATAAGCATAAAAACAAAATTGATTTCTACACGTACCTAAATGGTGTTATTAGCGATTTTGGTGATTTTCTAGGACTCAGTGGCGACACTCTTTTGGGATACGCCGTTTCATTAACTTTTTCCGCAAATCATATTAATTATTTGTAACGCCGCCCGATGGCGAAATGGCTAGCGCGTCGCTCAACAGCACCGGGGTTCAATCCCCGGGCTGGGCAAGGTTGACTCAGTCTTTCATCTCTTGAGTGGGTCGATAAAATGAGTACCAAATTCGTTGGAATCTAAACAGTGGGGGGCCCTGCGACAAGCTGACCACTTGCCCAGGGCATATGCTGATGCAGTCCATGTTCCAAGGTCAAGAAAGCGCGATTTCCAATTTCTTTCGCAAACTAAATGACTTTGTATTTGAAACCAGCACTATGTTTGTTTCATTTGGCAGGAGCCATATTTGTTACTAAAAGGAATACCAGATCAACTGCATTTCACCTAAAGCAAAAGGTCTTGATGTTCACTTCAAAATCACAGCTTTAAATGACTACAGAAAGAGAAAACTTCTGACTACTTATTCCGCGAATTCATTCGGGGCGGGAGTACATTCGCATCCTAAACTATGGCTCCCTTTTCTCGAAACCTTAGAATAGCATTCTTGTACACATCTGCATTGAATACAATAAACCTTTTTTTTTTTCAGATTTACTCCCTCAAGCACTTTCCCCACATATATATTGTTTCCCTTATCGTTTGTTAATTCTGTACACCATTGTTCGAAAGCCTGCGAAAAATCTTCGATTCAATGACTTCAGAAGATAACAGCATCACACATGTATCCTTCAAATTTCTTCATAAAGAAATGGGTGCGCGTTATACAGCGAATATATCTAAAAATTTAAAAATGTAGCTTGAAATTACAGATGCGCGTTATACACCGGTTCGCGTTATGCCCTGGAATATGCAGTATTTAAAATAAATTTCAGATTCAGCTTACTAAATATTTATCGAAACAAACATAAACAATAATAATATCTCAAAGGGGAAAAATCAAAGTTATATTTATTTCCTATCTGAAAACTAAAATTTAGCATTTGCGAGACATTTTTGTTGGTTAAACCTTGTTAATAAAGTATACTGATAGCCAAGTATTAAATTTTCAGAGTGATATTAATTTAAAATAGTTCTAATACGTCTAATTAATAATTAAATAACCTACTTAAATTTAAACAAAAAATAAACTTTCCAGCAAACAGAAATAAACATTTTTAGGGAAAATTTTCCAAAACTTCAGTATAAATAATGATAACTTAGTCTCTTTTTATTATTTATTAAAAATTTTTATTGCAGAAATAAAAATACGTATGTTTACATGTAAATAATTATAATATTGTTCTTTATTTCGTATTACAGCTTCACATTTAATAGTGTTTCTATTTTGATAAAGTTTGTAGGCCTTGAAGAGAAATTATCTTCATTGTGGATTATACATGCTCATCAGTCAGTTGTGTCCTTATTAATTTTCAACTGTGAAAAAGTTGTTCACATGTAAATATTTTAGTAAACAAAGTGATTATTCTTAGTACAAAAATTTGTAGATAAGCTTGTTTATTTTTTGATAAGAAGCACGAATAAAAGTTACAAAATCTGTATCTTCAAAGATCTGAAAAGCTTTAGGTCTCATTTTATATTAACTTTCCATTTATAGATTTTCTGGTATTTATAGATTTCTGATTTTTAATGGTAATAGAAATAATGTAAATTCGAATTTGAAATAACTAAGATCTTGAAATGGTTGCAACACCGTATTTGCCAAAAAATATATAATCGAAATGTAATAGTGAGCTGTATAAAATTGCTACGGGAGACACATGCGGCATGCCAGTTTGAGACCACTGCCTTATAATACGATAAAATGATATTAATGAGCAATGAAAATTATTCTTTAAATTTATTTGAATAACGTTTTATGTTTAGAACACATTTTAAACGTATTAAAACTTCAAAAATTTCTCAAAATCCTGAAATTTATAAAATATAATTCTACGTTATAACTATATGTACTACATTGTAAACTTCTTTGACCTTAAAAAGGAGGTATAAAGGTGAGGGAATATTGTTCAAAATATTTAACCTTACTATGTGGTTAAAGTTAATAGTTACTATGTGGATAATGCAATTTAAATAGAAAGAGAGGAGTTAACTAAAAATGGGTAACAGTGTTATACGTTCCTTTTTCTATTACAGTATTTACTAATTTTATATTAATTCCTACTGGTAGGCAATTTTAAATTACTCAGTGCTCAATAAATCTACTTAGCAATATTTTCACATAAAACTATAATTTCGTATTTAAAAATATTAAATTATGCCATAAAAATTTAATTGATACATGTTTTTGAAATAACAGCAATGGTTTATACATAAATGAACTGTTATTTTTCGAAGCTGAAATGATGGTATATCAGCGTATTCATGTCTTCTTATAGAAGCTTATTAGTTAGATTTTCTTTTTATTTAATGGCTGCAAATGAGTCTTCGTGCTAAGTGTGCAATAAATATTCAATAACTATTAATATTCACGTTTATTTATATATAATATATACAGATATTTTATTTTGAGCAATAAATTTTAAATTTCATAACACCCCACATAGTAGAAGCTTCCTACTAAAATAAATTCTTTAAACTGTGTAATTATATCTTTATCAGGAGGCTGGGAACTATAACGAGTAGTGAATGAATTCACTCCGATGTAATTTACATTTTTAATAATTTATTATAGTTGTGTGTTGTACATAACATTACATTTTCTAAAACGTAGGAACTACATCATAGATACCAACTTTGAAATATGAAAAAATCGAGAATTTCCTGTATGAAAACCGGTAGTTTTCAGGATGTTTTTCCTGGCTATGTTGCGACGTCATTTTGAAAGATCAGCAGACTGAAATTCATTTCATAAGGCACAATTCTGGCTATTGAATTATTTAGACTAGAATCTTGATGTACAAATATATTCTAAATTTTATGCTCTTCGTCATTTTGTAATTTTAATTCTAAATTTTATATTCTTTGTCATTTTGCAATTTTATGTTCATTCTCATTTTGTAATTTTAATTCTAAATTTTATGTTCTTTGTCATTTTGTAATTTTAATTCTAAATTTTATGTTCTTTGTCATTTTGTAATTTTAATTTAAATTTTATGTTCTTTGTCATTTTGTAATTTTAATTTAAATTTTATGTTCTTTGTCATTTTGTAATTTTAATTCTAAATTTTATTCTCTTCGTCATTTTGTAATTTTAATTCTAAATTTTATGTTCTTCGTCATTTTGTAATTTTAATTCTAAATTTTATGTTCTTTGTCATTTTGTAATTTTAATTCTAAATTTTATGCTCTTCGTCGTTTTGTAATTTTAATTATAAATTTTATGTTCTTTGTCATTTTGCAATTTTAATTCTAAATTTTATGTTCTTTGTCATTTTGCAATTTTAATTCTAAATTTTATGTTATTTGTCATTTTGTAATTTTAATTCTAAATTTTATGTTCTTTGTCATTTTGCAATTTTAATTCTAAATTTTATGTTCTTTGGCATTTATAATTTTGCAATTTTTTTACATTTTTATATTTGGAAAATCTTGAGTAAGGAAGTGAGCTTTTTTTAACCAAAGCGCTTTTAATACGACGAAAATAAAATTAATGATCAGTGTACATGCTATTGCCTGAATAAACGTAGTAGCACACCATACGCTGATGTGAAACGAAATTAAATGCAAATATTAACTAGTTAAACATTGCTTTTATCGGTAAAATTTACACATGTCTACAGTGGATTAAAACAATTCAGATCAAATGGAATTTAATACAAAAGAAATAATGATGAAAATCATTAAGAGTTAGAACAGAATTTATACAATTTAAGTTTCATTAATTCAATAAACTTCATTTACTGCCAGGAAACATTTTACTACTAGTTTTTTTAATAAAGAAGTAAAATTAAAAGCTGAGAGATTCGATGATCTGCCGAAAAACATAATCAGCCGGGAGAGTTGGCTGCGATGGCTACATAGATTTATAGTTCATCAATGACTTATTATTGTGACTTACCTCCAGATAAAGTCAAAGTTGCAAATACATATTCAGAATCTGTAGTCCCCGCATCGTTCCTAGCAGTCATAAGAAGAGTATACCATGTACCCGGACTGAGATCCGTAATAGTTATATTCTGCTGTTCGGGTATAATGTTATTGCTGACTAGTGTCCATTCCTGCTGACCACTTGCTCTGTACTGGATGACGAAAAATGTGATAGGACATCCTCCGTTATGCCAACTGTTCAAATTAACGCAAACGCTAGTAGAGTTCACGGTGAGCAATCGATCCTTTTCTGGAGTTATTGGAGCTGTAACAGTATAATGAAAGAATATTTTATTAAAGAGTTAATAGAATGGATATTTTTAAAAACAAAAACAAAAAAATGTTAAACTGGTGCTAATAATGAAGTGCTAATCAGGTTAATATAATATATTACACGAATTAAACTATGATTGCAATTTAAGAAAAAAGAGAACGCATCATTTTGCAAAATATTCATCAAAAACCATATGAAAATCTCTGTCATTTCCTTTTTTCGTAGCCGTAAATGTATATTCTACGAAATATTTTTTATTTATTCCTTAACTGTTTTAGGCGATCAGTGTGCCTATTTAGCTTTAGGTATTTATCCTTTCTTAATTAATTTCATTCCAAAAGATGGAAAACTTAATGCGCCCAGAAATTTCGCCAGTTACGCTATTTTCGTCCTCCTGGCAACACAGATCGTAGCGGAATTCCAGAAGTTGGGAGGCATAACCGGAAAGTTCTTAATTTTCAAAACTTTAGTTCAAAGTTCAAGATGTCTATAGTTCAAAGTTCAAAATGTCTATAGTTCAAAGTTCAAGATGTCTATGGTTCAATAACGACTCGACGCCCTTCTCCCCCAATACCACGATGGGAAGCCATGTATTAATGGAATAACGACTTGGTGTGTAATTTCTTATCAAGCTTGGATAAATTGGAATAAAAATTTATAAAACGTTGAAGCAGATATAAAAGATGCAGCCAGCGTTATTCAGGTGGGTTTGAACATTTCCAAATAGTCTAAAAAGAACTTTAGACATTTGAAGTCAGAGAAATTTTCAGACGTGAAAGCATGCTGACCTTCAATTGCTCTTGTCGAAGAAAAACGTTGTATCGTCCATGTGTTGTTCTCTGCGCAGCGTGATCGAAGAGTGCTTTCTAGAATGGTTATTAAAAATTTCATTTATTGAAAACGATTGTTCACATTTTGTTAGTCAGAAACTGTGAATTAAAGAACTATGTGTAAAGACCGCTCAAAATGTTGATGGATAACCAAAATTAAAATCGAAAAATTGCTGAATTATTTCGTCGAACCATGATTATCTCGATAGGAGGGAAATGGTTAGGAGTTTTGGGTTTTCAAATACGTTTTTCTTTGAATTCGAGGAGAGGAAAGATGAAAGTAGAATCGAAAACAAAAGACTTTCGAAGAAACAGAATGAGAACCAAAATCATAATCATTGTTTCCTTTTTCGACATTTGTGGAATAGTGCACTATTTATTCATTCCAAGAAAGCAGTCTATAAATACAACTTACTACTTGCATGCCTTGAAATACCTACGAAATCGCATATGACATGTGTGACCTCATTCGTGGAAAGAGCTTCATGGATTTTGCATCAAAATAATGCGATGTTGCACTCAGCATTAGCTATTTGTGAATTCTTGGCTTGTAATTTAATCGAAGTGCCTCAAGGATTCTCCCCATTCGCTTGCTTGATCACCTATGACTTTTATGACTCACAAGAGACAACCATTGACATTGCCTTCTGTGACTTTTATGTTTCTAAAAATCAAAATAGAGTTGCGGCGCAGAATTTGGGAAACGTGTAAAACATTAGGATAGAAGTGACGACGTAGTTGGAGAAGCCATCAAAAATAGACCTAAAGTAGGGTTTTCAACAACGGAAAGTACTTTGCAAACTGCATTAATAGCAGACGGACTATTTCGAAAGTCACATGCGGATGTTACTGAATAAAATAAAGGATTTAAATACTTTTTCCTCGAAGTGTCTAGACAGGCTGTTTCAACTTTTTAAAATAATTTACAACAGTTATTTGAAGACAATTAAAATAGATTTGTTTGATTCTTTATATTTCTAAGTTGTTAGAATTTTCCTCCTCATTAAATTTTGATGAAATCTTTTGTTTCGGTTTTCATTCTTTTACAGTTATGAGAACACACATGAAAATTCTTATCAACGAATATTAAAATGGACGGAGGACACTTTTACCTTTATTTTACGTTCTACAGTCAAGGAAAAAAGTATATTAGCTAAGAGTATAATCGTTTTGTTCATTACACTATATTTTACAGATATTACAGAAACATCGGAGTAAACAATACACATTCTTAATGGCATTTCTAAGAGAATTAGGTATATTATTAGATTATATTATTAGCTATTTATTAGAGATTTCCATGATTTCCCAATAACAAACACAAATTTCAACAAAATATGAAAAATATTTTTTAAATCCAGAAAATATTTCATAAATTCATTTCTGTAATTTCTGTAAGCTGCCAAAATGTTCCTTTTGCTTAAAGACATAACATAACATAAGATTCGCACTGGAAAACACGCCGCTTTTAAACTGCAAATGATGGAAACAGAGTATATTGTATTGATGGCTACAAAAATCTTGATCTTTATCTATTCAGAGATCCTAACAGATCGAATTTATCCAAAAAGACTTTAGCTTTGCTCAAACTTTGCGTCTAATAAAGATGACGTCAGCATACGTCAACATGAGAAAAATAATAAATGATTCAAGAAATCTGCTATATTAGCAATCACTACCAAAAATGACTCCGAACCTACTTCGCAGCATCCGAATTTAAATAGAGACTAAATTACTCCCGCAAAAATTTGTGAAGATATCAGACAGCTCTTTCTGTGCCCTCTACAAAAAACCTATTTGAATCCTTAGGTGTTGACACTTCTCATGATAATAAAATGGAATGACAAGATGAAAATTTAAACTCTGAAAAGGAAAGTGTGGCTGTCACTTCTAACACCATACCAAATCTAAAAAAGAAAGATTACCTCTGATAATCTGCCGAAGAGAGGTCACTTAAGAAGAGTTATAAGGTATTTCTCCCGCCTTCTTAGCGTACCTTCGTGGTATAGTGGTCTGCAAGCTCTACCGTATCCAAGAGGTCCGTGGTTCGATCCCCGGCGAGGGCACTGCTCATTTTTCATCTCTTCTGCTTCAAAAATATCTAATGTCTCTACAGTGGCGCCCGAACGAAAAGGTGGTAAATGACGATTCTTCACCACCAGGATTTGGCGATTCAGTTCCCTAAATCCCCAGTCTCCATTTAAAAGGGGGAATATATAAGGTATGTCTCCCGCCTTCTTAGCGTGCCTACGTGGTGTAGTGCTCTGCACGCTCGACGCGTATCCGAGAGGTCCGTGGTTCGAAATGGAACCACGGACCATTTTCATCTCTTTTGCTTCAAAAATACCTAATGTCTCAACAGAGTTATGAAGGCCTTTCTCTGAATTTACGAAGCCTTTCTGCGTAGAATACAAGAACACTCTCCAGAGACGAAAAATTACTTTTTTCTTTCATTCCTGTCAAAATTTAAATGCCGCATCTGGATTATTCCTGAAGAAGGACATCCTTTTCTAGCGGGTAAAAGGGAATACTTTTAGAATACTTTCTTTTGGGAAAAAGATGAATACTCACATAGAGGTTGTTATTCGTAATTTACCTGCTGATTTTGACCTCAAGGAAATTGAGACGGAACTGGATCACGGGGCCTGCTGTGAGAAATGTGAATTCTATCCCAAATTCGCATGTAGAAAGAAGATAAAAAGCTCACACGGAGACTGAAGAACCCAACTGATAATGATTCTCATAATCATTACAATCCAGAACCTGAAGAAAATGTTGCTGCACATATGCAGTTTTCGCTCCAGCATCACTAGCAAGATGACAAGATCACTAACAAGATGATTAAAATGCTGCTTCTAAATCTTCAAGTTGGCGAAGCTTTTTACTGTTATTCTACGTTGGCAGCACTTCCCAGCCGAGTGGAAAACGGCTCAGTTTGGATTTCGCAGGAATTTATCAACCTGTTATAAACTATATCATGTTGCTGAACACATATCGAAGGGCTTTTACCAAAAGTAATTCACGGAAACACTGTTTATCGATACAGCCAAAGCTTTCGATCGTGTTTGTTTGGACGCACTTATTTACAAAATTCACAGTCTGAAGTTCTCAGATTACACACCTAATTAAATCCTACCTAACAAGCGAATAATTTGTCGCGCAAATTTTTGATACACAGTCAACTCACCGTGCCATTTCAGCAAGTGTACTACAGGGGTCCATACTTGGCCCTACTTTATTATTCAATATTTATGTGAACGGCATTCCTAGCACACCTCACACTACATTTACAATGTATGTTGAGGATAAAGCGATAATTGCAGAAAACGCATTTCTTAGTCCAGTTATTCAACGTCTTCAAAGCTACATGCATTCACTAGAAGCTTGTCTTATTCAATGGAAAATCGAAGTCAACTTGGAGGAGGTCATTGCAGTCATGTTCACCAGAAAAAAGAACATTCACCGGCATCTGCAGTTATATGGAACAACTCTGCCTTGGGTTCAACAAGTCTCTAATCTCAGGGGTGATCCTCACTAGTTCTCTCATGTAGACCTAACACATACAGTCTATTCTCCAGACGTTTCGAGTTCGTAAAGCTAAATTATACCCCTAACTACTCGATACAACGTTCTGTCTATTGACAACAATATTGACAATTGACATTGATAAATCCATGTTGAGACCAATGTTATGCTATGCCTGTCATGTCTGGGCATTTTTTTGTAAATCTGTCAGAAAAAACTTCAAACTGCATAGACCTGTGTTCTGAGGCAGAATTCCACCCTGGTACGTTCGTAATAATATCATTCATGAAGAACTTGGCATTGTTCAAATAAGATCATTCTGTATCATCTTACAAGAAACTTTCATGCAAAAATGATAACAGGTAGTCATCCTGATCTCTAGATCTATAACTTTCTGGATAAGAAGCATTAAAAACGGCCCACGGCCATACATAAACCGAGGGTAATGATGGAGCAATTAGTATTTAATGTCATTTTATTTATAATTTTACCTTCCTTGATTTGCATTACTTTATTGTATTATTTTTGTAAGTATTCTTTTCAAATTATGTATCACATGTATAAACTTTACCACTACGATCACTTGCACTGTGCACGTAAGTACTTTTTGTTCCCAGCTCGATCAGCTTTCTGAAC